TGTTACCTTTATTTGTAGGTATATACTGTTAAATAAGATGTTAAGTTTAATGAATATACCAAGTAATAATTTTCTACAATTTTTTTTCTCAAAAAAGAATCTTATTCAATAATTTAAATATAGACCAAGTTAATTGTCACTGAGAAACATGTTTTAGCTTTAAATCACTATCAAAATCACTTATCTTAGTGATTTTTTCTACATAAAATGTTTCTTTTTCTAGTGATTTTACTAGAATCCTCTGCTGAACGACAATGATGATTTAAAAAAATCGTTGTTATAATTTTTGAAAAATTAAAAAAAAAATATTTTTGTGTAAAGTTATATTGAGATCTTGCTCAAAAAATTGGTGCTAAATATTTTATTTTGTTGTTATAATTTAAGAATAATTCAAATTGTTATTAAATATGATGTATTGTTAAAAAGAATTAGACAATAATATTGTTAAAAATAAAGTTATATTTAGAAAAAAATTGTCGTTTTATTTAATACAATAAACTACATTTTTATTTATAATATTTTTATTACAAAACTTAAATAATTTCAAAGTTTATCTTTGTTAATCAATCAAATCTTTGTTAGGTTGCAGGACAAATAAAAGAATAAATATATTTATTTTCTCCAAATTTACCACTTTTTAAAATATTTACAATATTAAAGAGAGACCCTGTATATTTCTAAAAAAACACAGCAACTAACTACATCATCATAGTTTATAATAATTGACTCTTAAATTAAATAAATAAAAAAAGTATCTTGTTCTGTAGACGAAAATATCAACACAGACAATCGTCCAGGCAGGTATGGTACTTAATATCAAGAAATATACGCGTATTAAGATATTATCAGCTATCCGGAGGTACAACTTCAAATAAAACTTGAACCAAGTAAGTCAGCTTATCTGAAAATAAAATAATTTTATATATAAAATACATATAATCTACGAAAAACTTTTATAAATCATTTGTTTGTATTAAAAAATAGAGATAAATTATTTAAATTTATAAAAAAATGTATTATTTTTTTTAATACAAAATATATTAGTATTGTTTCACCCTGTATATACTTACTTAACAATCGTGTAGGTTTTGTCCTTTGTAGATACACCAATAATAGATTGGTACTCCTGAGAGTGTAAATAATAGTGCAAACAGGTACATAGGATCTGGATCTGTGAGGATCGGTGTCACACTAAGATATATGGCAACTAGTAATATGAAAATTGGAATCCAGAGAGGCACCTAGAATAGAAAAATCCAAAAATCAGATTTCAGGGGTTTCTTAAGGTAAACTACATATCACATACAAAGTGAATCTCAAATTAATGAAAGTATTTTAACTTATAGTATATTTCGATTTCAGAAAAGGCTTATGAGTTTGCTCAGTAAGAAATAAAATATTTTTTTAATACCTTATAAGGTCTAGGCACATCTTTTTTGGTTTTCCTCAATATCAACAAGGATACCATCGCTGTTCCATAGCTCATCCAGATCAGAAAACTGGCAAACTCAATCAACTGCACTATGTCTCCACTAATTATGAATAAAAATGCTACAAGTCCTTGAAATGCTACAGCGGGAGAGGGAGTGTGTCTTTGATAATGGACATAGGAGAAACTCTCCAACATGAATCCATCTTGCCCAGCAACATAACATAGCCTACCAAAAAAAAAGAGAAACGATTAAAAAAACTTTATATATAATAAACAAGTTTTTTTTAGTTCTATTGTAACACCAAATTGTACACTGAGAGCACAGCCAAAGGTACTTAAAGCTACACCCAGTGGTATTATAAAAGAAAATGGTCCTAATACTCGTTCACCGAATGTAACAGCCACGGCTTTGGCATCGACCATCTCTGGAATGGATAGCACTGTCATGTAAGCTATGTTCATAAACACATAGAGCAAGGTAACGATGGGAACACTAATAGCTATGCTCCTGGGAATATTCCTAAGAAAAAAAAACATTAATAAAAATATTAAAAAAAGATTACAAAATTAATAAAACGCTTCACTTCTTACAATTTCATATTTTAAGACATAATTAAATTAGAAACACGTTCTGATTTTTGAGACTTTTTGAAAAAATTCAACTATATTTTTATTATTTTTTTATTTTTCTCTGAAACGGTATGGAAATTTGAAAAGGTATAAACGGGATTAGCTATTATTTTAAAAGAAGCAAAAAGTTTTTTGAAGAATTCAAGTCTTATATTATTATTAGAATAGTCATTGTAAATTTATTTTATTACAGCATATCATAATTTCTTATTATATGAGACGCGTTTTTTTGTGTATGAACTCTTATATAAATACTTACACTTCTGGTCTCTTTATTTCTTCAGTTACCACTGTTACAGTACACCTAAAAGAATTCTTATTTTAGTAAACAATTATACAAATTAATTATTTTTGTATAAATATAAGCAATACATTTATGGATATATCTATTGCAAACAAGCATTTTGGCTGAATATCGATAAAACAACAGTTAAAATAACATATAATTTATTATATTTATTAAATATTTATTGGTTTGTTTTTAAATAATACCGTATAATCGAAAATAAAACGGCGGCTAGTTGGCTTGGAAATGACAATCGATGACAGTCCCCATATAATTTTACATAATATAAAATGACTGTGATCTTCATTTCATAACTATCGCTGACGCCGTTTTTTTTTCTTTTCGATCATATTGTAGTATCTATATAGTTTTTATTAGGAGTAAAATAATACTCTTTGTGGCGAGACTATACTATACGTTTGACATTACAGGCAAGGTACAAAAAGTACATTTTTACTCCGAATAGAACATGCAATTTTTTTCAAACGTCACAAAAAAGTTTTAAATAATTTTAAAATTCGCAAATAATATAAATAGTAATACAATGTGATTGAAAAAAAAAACGGCGTCATCGATGGCTATGAAATGAAGATCGCTGTTATTTTATATGCAAATTATATCGATGTTAATTTCCAAGTCAACTGGACTCCGTTTTTTTTTATTTTACGGTATCTTGTAAGTAATTATGCCTATATCGAACAACAATGGGTACATTCGTTGAATTTGACACTTAATGTCAGTTTAATGATATATTTTTGTACTTGTGCTTAGGCGTAAAAGCGTTTTACTTATATTCCTAAGCGTTAAAATGACGTTTTTATATTGTCAATCACGTCACAAAAATAAATGTTTTTGTAACGTTTGAAAAAAAGATATTTTTTTAAATATTGTACAGGGTGTTTTATAAAAAATAGTAAAAAAATAAATCTCATATTAATAAAAATAAAAATTTCTTTTTGTAGAATGTTAGCTGTTTTTTTCTTTGAACGATAATAACTTGTTATTGTTTATTTACCAGCCGTCGTAAGCCCACAGCCCGCTATAAAAGCTAAAGCGACATCTTTCGGTCTAAAGCTTGTACCTTCGAACCCTTTGAACAGGTTCTCCGTCCTGCCACACCACAGCTCATAGATTCCCCGAATATGACAACCAAACAGGCCAAACTTTGAAGGAACCGAATACATTCTGAATTATCACGTAGAGTTTGACACTTCTTACGTTAATGTACGTCATAACACCTAAAATGTTGTAAATACAGTTAGTAGAAATAAAAAAAAAATAAATTAAAATGACAGACTATAACTAGGTTTTTAGTTACCTAAAGCTACGATTGCTATTGATTT